ATACTTTGGGTTCTGCTTTACAATTTACCAATTCCCGTAAATAAAAACAAATGGAAATGGATAATATAATGATAGTACAAGACTAAAGGAACCTCGGGAGTGGCAAGAGAGAATAGGATCCGGGAAAGAGGAACAAGAGGGAAAAAGGAAGAAGAGAGGGAAGCGGATGGGAAAACCGACAAGACTCGCAAAGCCTCTTCCTTCCTTCTCTTCTCATCATTTCTGACTAGTACTGCGGAGGGGAGGGGGAACAGACAGAACAATTCGATTCGAATCCACCCCAAGGCTAAAGGGAGTGCAGCGTCTCGCCAATCCCGCGTCCTCCGAGACCTGCTTGCTTTTTCCTCCTCAGCAGCGACGAGGCATCAGATTCCCTCCTGCCACCTCCTCCGGCTTCCTACTCGTCCTGTCCACCGGAACTACTGGAGACGGTGGACTCTCGTACATGGACCACTTCTGCACACCATCCACGATAGGCCCGTCCTTTTCCTAAAAAAGAAAGCTGCCTGAATGGAAGGATGGCCCGGTGGTTTCGCTTCTTCCATCTATCTACTACTTCTTCTTCGCCTTTGCGTAGGCCGAGGACATCCGCCGATTATCTAGATTATCTTCCCCTCATCCCCTCCTGGGTCAATGCGATACATACACTCGTCACTTTGGTTCAATCAACATCACCGCCACCATCACACCCATGTTCTCACAACGCCAGCCAGATGAGATACACGCCGCCCCCCCAGCATCCTTCTACCGATACCCCTATCCTTGTATTTACACCTACGATGAGCTTTTCCGTCTCCCCAATTTCTCCCGACCGGTGACTCAAGGTTGATTTTCCATAGTCAGTAGGCGTCCATCTCACAAGCCAGCTTCAACACTTGGTCAGCCACGGATCCAGGCAAGAATGCCCGTTCCGTGAACAAAACGAACAGCGATGATGGTGGTGGCGGCAATCTGACCATAGAACCCGCCGTCTTTGGACAGCTTGACCAGGTCAACCTGGTGATGCTGCAGTCTTTAGTAGAACCAAGCAGGTTGGCGAGGCCAATGAGGGGCCCTAGACATCCCGATGATCGCGAGGCAGCTTACAACATGAAACGGACGTCGCCAGCTGCAATCTCGGGCCTTGGCAGTCCAGAGATGAAGTAAAAAGCAAACCTCGAGGGACCATGGATCCGGATCTTTGCTGTTTACGTGGGTGCCAGGTTCACTTTTCCTCCCAATGAAATAGCCTGATGGGAGACAATGAGAGCGGGGTAAAGGACCGCTACCTCCTCTTTCCCCCATCGACCGTTGCTTTTAGTCTAGTCCACTCTTCCCGCTTCATATGACGAGTGCAGGGCTTTGCGGGACCCATGATGCAAGATCGGTCTCTCTTCAAATTCAAATCGTTCCAGGTAACTTATCAGGTAGGCTGCTTGTGCCCCCTAGAAACGAGCTTCTCTCCCTCATCCTTCGCCCGTTCCCAAGCACCTTATCTGTACCCTCCTAGACTGGTTTGAAAGGTTCTAGATAGGCCTGTGAACCGTTTTATGGGACCCTGTGAGTCCGTTCCGAGCACGGTCCCCCCGGTGCGCCTATCGTTCCGATGACAGAGCTTACTGTCCTGTCCGCCATTCTCGCTATCCTTTACCTTGCAGGCCAAATGTCGATGGTCTTCCACTTCGGGCAAATACTGTTTCCAGTGACTGCGTTGGTACCAGTTGGAGTTCCATGTACAACAGATTGCTAATGCAGTGGCGTATGCAGCTTAAGGTAGGAAAATAGAACCGACATTCGCTTTGCAGTCGAACAATGCAACCACCTAAGCCGGATCAGCTTGTCTGAGTGGCTCTAGCATATAATACACAATAACTAGGCTGCGAGACTGAAATGACTGATGGCGATGGCGTACACGTGGTGGATCACAGCATGATTGGACTATGCCATTATGCAGGTATGTACAAAGTTGTCATTGTTCAAGTGCGGATAGTTCTTAGAGTATCAATATCACCTCGAATAGTTGAGCTACTTATATGGAAAGAACAACGTCGTGACATGTTCAGGTTTGAGAACTCTTTTGAGATCTCGAGATGGGGTAAGCTTTCCGATGGCCCTATTTTGGTCGGCGAAAGGGCCTATTCGAGGTAGTAGCCTTAATAGTACAATTAGCGCTCGCAAGAAGACTTTTCTAGAAGAGGGTTACCCTTCAACTAGCCAGAAAAGAAGTGGGTCACGAATTAAGGCAATGTGGCGCATGCTCAACTTTATCTTCTTTGGTTTCGGTTACCTCCATCTGGAGAACAGAGCTATATCTAACCTTGAGGTGATTCTTTAGCCGAAGATGCGTGTTAAAGACATGCTACAGGTTTCTCTACGCCAGCAAACGCTTCTTGCTTGAAATGATCTAACGAGGTTCCTACGTTGGAATTAAACAGGTTCCGAATCCTCTGTTCCCATGAATTCGGTACTAGCTTTTGCTTCGAGATAGACTTGGAATAGTTCGACGACAGAGAAATTATGACCTGTTTACAAATCGGTAGGCTTACCGACCGAAGAACAAGAGACCCTGTCTAAACACTGCTACTGTTCACCCGAGTTGTAAGAGATATATACTACATTTCAAAATATTTCTAACTCCTGATATCAAAATGCCTACAAGATTTACGTTACTATACTCCTCGAAGTAACACCGAGAAAATATACTAGACAGTGAGTCTAATAAGTACGGACGCTGCGATTAAAGCCAAGTACTTTCTCAAAAGTTATAGATGTGAGCCGATCCTCAGTTCCTCATGTCTTCTCCGCTTATCCCATACATTCCCACTTAATCAAGCAACCAACCAATGATGTTATCTTTTTCTTCGCTTTAACTAATAGGATATGTATACAGCCTTCACCGACAGCTTCTTCCTATATTTAGCCGCAATAGCAGAACTTTTGAACTTGTCACTTCTTCCTTATGGAGTACATTCACAGTGAGTCGGGGGGGGGGGCACATTCTTCATCTTTGTTAAGATCATGACCATAGCTGGATGTCCTTGAAGAAAATGATAATATTCCTAGATAGACATCTCTCAGGAAAGGAGAGTTCGGAATTTCAGCTCGCTGATCCAGATAAGGCCGAAGTTTTGCGGCAGACTACTGCTCATAACTAAATTCGACCAATACCTCACACGGTCGATCAACGATCTTTGATCCAGCTATCCCAACATTCTGCTCAGTCTTTCTTACTAGCTCCAGTGTCTTTTCCTGAAGTATGGTTGAGATGAGGTGACTTCACGTACAAGCTAGAATCAAGGAATGTTCTCCCAGCATGGGTCACCACTTTGAAGCTTAGAAGCATAAACCGGTGCGTAAATTTCCATGTCCATTACAAGGTTTGCCTTTCACTAGATCTGGAGAACCCATAAGGGCGGGTACTGATATATCCTAGTGAATAGCCAGTTGTCCGTCTGAGTTTCATGTGAGCTGAATTGTGAAGTTAGGCGACAAAGCAAGGAAAGGACAGAGCCAGCACTCGATTACACCATTCGGGGTTTCCTAGCTGTTGTATCCAAGTCAAGAGTGCCAAAATCTGATACTCTCAAGAGACAGATTCGACAATACACCCCATTTACAAGATCTTTCCTTTCCTTGCTTGCGCCGGCTCTAACGCTCTTCACACACTTGGTGCTCTATCTTGCTAGTATAAAGTCATCGAACTGTCTAAAGAGCATCAGCCCCGACCGTCAACTATTCTATTAGCTCAGAAGTTTCCGACATGATAATCGCGGAGTTCTACTCCATACGCGGTGGCACCTTTACCCCGCTCTTCGTCTCCTATGCACAGCATACGCAGCGTGCGAATGGAGTGGCAGTGAGCTAAATACTGCTGCCGCATTAGCCACCGCCAGAGTCACGATTATTGGTCTGCTAGCTACCTGGGATGAGAAGGCATTTGGATATACAAGGGTGCAACAATATCTACTCGTCAGTGTCGGTTCGGGTGTGACTAGGCTGGCGCAATGGTCTGTCCAGACCATTCACCCCGGAGCTAGAAATGCGCCTCAACTCCTTCAGCTTCGAGGCAGCTGTGGGCAAAGGAGCGCATCATTGAAAAGAGTATAGAGGTTGAATTACCCGCCAACCCACAGTATCTACAGCAAGCATTCATCAAGTGGATTTGCACAGTTGATGGCAGACTAAACGTTAGGGAGGGGTCTGTAGTGGCCTGAAGTGAATAAGTAGTATTCGGCTCGTATCCCCTAACTTGTTCTCTGCCAATTATTGTTTACAGGAGATTCTGTTATGGAAGTAGCGGGGTTAATTCTTGACATTTGATAGGCATTGCCATGGAGAGACAGCTTTGTGGCTTCCCGGCGCTGTTAGATATCATGTTACTAGACGGCCTACTGTTTGCTGGGGCAAATTTATCAAAGCCTACAGGTAGACCCTAGCGTGTACTGCTTCACCCAAGCCAGCGATGTCTTGTACCATTTCTGTTCTGACAGAACGGATATAAAAGGTGGACAGGGCGTCCTGACGTCATCAGGAGAGATAACTACACAGTGACACAAGCGTCCACTGTACGCCGGTGGTCACGTGAGGACACGCGGCACGGGGCCCCCAGGTGCAGGTGGATCCCGTCGGTGACGGTGAGCTCTCCCTTGGTTGAGACCAGATAAGGCGGAAGCTCACAGGTTGACGCGGCCAGTGCAGGTCCATGACAATTAGACCGCTCATCACTGCTACATCAGCTCTTGTCGTGGCATCTTCAGCCTCTTTAAGACCAGTGTGCTTGGTCTTCCAACCTCGCAATCTCTCGCATTGACCGCATTGTCATACAGCGGCCGACAACCTACGTTACCCGACCGGGTCTCTGGGTTGATTAACGGAGCACGGTCCACACGAGGACCATCGAGGACCATCTCTCACGAACTTGCTAGATCATCTTGATGGTGCTCTAGAAAGTGGGTTGCAGGGCGATTCCACCGTGAAAGCTGCTTGACAAGCTTTCTCTTTATATATACTCTTTATTAACCATGCTGAACCTCAATATCTTCCGGCTACTGGCCGATCTCTCCCATATCTCCTCCAAATGTGTCTTGATATGGGCTATCCATCGAAATAAGAGTGCAGAAGGTCCGTATGATAGATTGCATCATTGCAGTGTGCTGCGAGCTAAGCATTGTTTCACATAATAGGAGTCTCCCTTCTGACGCAGATGCTCTATGCTTTGGTGTTCGTGACTCGTTATCTCGACCTTTTCTCGAAGGCAGGATGGAGGCACTTCTATCTCGTATTCTTCAAGCTATTCTATATAATCTCCTCGTTCTACGTCATATACCTGATGATGAGAGTATTTCCCCGGACACGGGAAAGGGAGCGAGCCTGGAAGATGGCTATAATCTCGGTCGCCCTATCTCTGGTTCTGGCACCCATATCCATTGTCATCTTTTATCGTGGTTATCCCGATAGATGGTTCACAGAGGTAAGTTGCATGGCCCGCATTGGCCTGTTGATCTCGCTAACCGAATCATGATGATATGCAGACTTGCTGGACCTTCTCGATCATCTTAGAGTCCGTCTGTGTTCTCCCTCAATTGTTGCTCCTGCGCCAAACGACCGTTCCAACAGTCATCGATTCATACTACCTGCTTATGCTGGGCTCCTACCGCGCCTTCTATATTCTCAATTGGCTTGTACGGGGACTGGGCTCTGAGGGTCACTGGGACGTGATTGCAGACCTCTACGGTGTCATCCAGACGGCTTTCTACGTTGATTTTGCCTGGGTTTACTATACCCGCCAACGTGTGAAGCTCCGAAATGGCGGAGTTGTTGACTCGGAAGATTTCCGCCACAGCTGGCTAGTGAGCAAGATCCTGAACTTCCGGCAGCGGAGGAGTGCAGATGAGGAGCAAAATCTAAATGAGGAGGACGTGGAGGACGAGGAGGTCGCTGGTGGCGGTAGACCAAGGAACAACCGCTGGGGAGCAAGAGGGATCTCCGTCTCGGCCGACGATACGCTGGGAAACCATCGTGGGACAGGCCAAGATGAGAGTCTAGAAGGATTCTTAGAAGATGAAGAAGACGACGATGACAATAATGGGTACCCTGTTAACGGGGGCGCTCATCCGAAGCAGTCAACCGGGGTAACGGGCAGTCACGAATGAACTGTCTGCCCTTAATCCCCATATATAGAAACCCTGCTGCAGATCAGCCGGTTTTGGTTACACGGCTCATTGTCCTCGTGGCATTATATACTTCCCTAGGGCTCGTTCTCCCCTTTCGCTACTTTCATGGCCTCTTTCCTTTATTACTCGGGTTCTTGTTTGCATGGAATTTCTCTCACGTCATCAAAGTTTTCACAATCTCAAATTATTTCTTTTTTGGAAATGTAGTAATGCAAAATGGGTCCAAACTGAATTAAGACACGGAGATTTTGGATGCCAGTTCACCCGTTGCTGACGGTTAGATCATCCATGATTCAGTGGCAGGGTTGATTACTAGATGAGATCATCCCCCAGCATCCGAGGGGGCTATAGGTGAAACACAGGTGAGAACGACCCCATCGTTTCAGGACTGCAACCAGCCATTGCTGCGCCTGCCCATAGCCACAGCTCCTCGTGTGGGCATTGGACCATCGAAGAGGAACCCAGGTAAAAGGGGAAAGACGAGAGGGAAGAACGAAGGGGCCAATTTGAGGGCAAAAAACGCCTAGGCGACAACCTTGCCCTCATTCGGCAAATCCGGCATTGACCGACATCCTCCTGCTCTTGATCAGATCCGCGCCCGGTCCAAAATAGATCATTACTAGTGTTAGCGCGCGAGCCTGAGGATGGGCCTTTTTTGTCTTCTCTTCGTTCATGAAGGGGAAATAGTGGGATTGATGACAAGGTGGCATCCACTAACCCTGAGGGGAAACTGAGAAACCCAGTGACATCACGTGGATGCGCCCCGGGGGCCCCGATCGTTCGACTCGCTGAAAGAATGAAGATCATCCACATGGCGGTGATGTGCGCAAACCGACAGTGAGAGGGGCCTCGATGACACGCCGGTCAGAAGGCCGTTCCATAGGGCCAAATCCCTCGCGGACGCCGAAAGGAAATCCAGCATGAAAATCTTGCGCGAAGTGCACTAAGCGAATTCCAGAACAAGACGGCCTCCCCGAGCAAACCGGCGATTCCTTAGGCGCCAGTGCCATGGCGGGAATCTCCGGACTGGAATAATGGTTGGAGATGGACGTTCCTGTGAAGCAACTCGCAGGTCTGGAGAGGACCACCCCATCCATCCTCATCTCATCTGGCGCGTAACTCACCTTTCCCTTCGGGGACACGTGGCTTTGGTTGAACGCAGGTAGCCGGCAGGATGAGCACTGGACCGATCATATCTTAACCTGCTGGATCCAGGGGGACAGCCTTCCCGGCACCCGCGCATGAGTGGACTGAAATGGGGAGAGACCATACATTATGGCCGTTCATTACGGGCCTGGCGGATGGCTTTGGTGGTCAGCTCGACTCCGTAGGGCGATTGCACTAGTCCGATCGCAAAACCACAACAAGCATGTCTCCCCATGTCTGTCAGACAAGCCCGCCAGCCTAGCCTAGTCCAGTCCGTTCTGATCCACCGGGATTTGCAGCCGCAGCGACGGAGAAGCGCTTAATGGCCTATCTTTCCGTGCTACCCCTGCTCATAGAGCTTCCTTGATGCTCTCCTCCGGTTTTGCTGGTGACCGTGTTTCCTCCACAGCTTTCCGAACAGGATTTAGTTGCGTCCGGCTAACAAAGCACCAGAATCCTGGCTTATGACCTACCGTTGTTGGGGCTGCGTCTAGTAGCTTGTCAATTCGTCTTCTCTTGGCCGCTCTCACCCTCCATCTCCACCTTCCGTAGCGGCTAGGAAACTGGCGATGCGTTCATCTGCCGTTCGGAGACTTTCTGGTGTATTTTTTCCACGCTTTTTGACGGATTTGTAGTCATTTAATTATTTGTTATTATACTTTCTCCATTTTGCGATCCTTTACCCGGGATTTTCTTATCCGCTAGGCTTTCTCCGTTGGACTTGACCATTAGCAGAACTGTCAGCTCCAGCGCTAACCCACTGATTGCCATTTGATATGGACTATGGGCGGTTCGCTAAAGTGTCGGTTTTTGTCACTCTTTCCATGGCATTACCCATTCGACAGTGCCCACATCAGGGATCCAGTACATCGGAACTAAGATCGCAGCAGGTACTGCCTTGTTCTTGAGTAACATGGGTGGGCCTGGGAATGCAAAAGTCTGAGCCCCGGGGGGGTTTGGGGGCTGGATTGTCTCCCTTCTCATGTCATGTCAAGAGATGAGAAATTATTTCTCTCTCCTCCCCTGCCCCTCTAGAAAATGGAGCCATCCGCCTGGAATCAGCGGGCGCTTAAATGCAGGCGCATGGTCATACCTACAACCTCTGATTGCGATTCAATTTTTGCGGCACAGTGAAAGTGGGCGGTACCTACCATGTTCACTAGAGCTCTCTAAGCCCGATCACCAAAGGCTTCACACTTCTGGCCTGCCTTGCGAGGCATTTTGTCTTTCATTGATATCTCCTACTCGAGTATATGAACCCACACGCACGTCCATTAAACTTCTACTCTATCCTTCCACATTTCACATCAAAAGCAATCTTTGCCTTTTCACCTGACGATTACGACTTGTGAAGAACTATAATTCTTTTCTATCTGACTCATTCTGAAGAAGCCTTCTTAATCTCTCTACTCGTTCATTCGTCCAGCTTAATCATCTATTAGTCTCCTTGCCACTGCTGGCGGTTTGCCCTCTTGCGTGTTTCATCCACGTTACATTCCTTCCACAACAACAGCCCCTGCATCATTTGCAACCGCACGCTGGCCTTCACAATGTATCCCCAGACACCCATCGGATATTCGGCGCCATTGGTGTTCAGCCATGGTGGCTCGAACCCCGGAGATGGACTTGACGAGTACTATGCCAGCATGCAGCCTCAGTGGACCGCACTCGATACTGTATGTTGTATTCAGATTTATTGGATCGCCACTTGCTAACTATTCCGGCATATAGTCACCTTATACCGGTGTTAGCAATCCTTATACTACCGCAGCAGCTTTCCCGACTGGTGCCATCTTGACTCCGATCAGCCTTCCGGATAGTTCCTTCAGACCAAGCCCCGTGCTCAGTCATCACTCACAAGAATTTCACTACAACGTTCCCGAGTCTGTCCCACCACAAGGCCTAGGCATCACCGCACCCTTCCCCAGCAGTTTCCCCCGTACTGTCACCGCAGGTCTGGGGCATACCTCAGAGGAACCGGACTTTGGCTTCAGCGAAGCTATCCTGTCACCTCAACCGCCACCCGCGAAGAGGGTCCGACGTGGGCCCAAGCAGGCGGTCACACCCCGAGAAGCACCGGTTACAATACTACCTAATCCTGAAGGGCTGCAGCGCATGGAACAAGAGCGACGACAAGGGGCAGCCGACGCTCAAAACAGTCAAAGGCCCCGGGCTCCGGGTCGGGGGAGGCGAGACCCGCAAGCTGAGGAGGAAGACGCATTTGTGGAGAGGCTTCGGGAGCAGAATCTAGCCTGGAAAGTGATCCGGGAGATGTTCCGGAACAAGTTCCACAAGGATGCCTCGGAGGCGCGTCTACAAATGCGCATGTTGCGGCGACGGAAGGAGCGATTGGCACGGTGGGATGAGAATGATGTGAGTACGTGCGCCCAAGCAGTCGCAAATTGTCAACTAATTAACGATCAAGTCATCCAGATCCGACTGCTCATAAGAGCGCGGGAGTACTGGGAGCATGAGAAATACAACGTGATTGCACAGAAGGTGAGTCCCTAGTGCAACCTTGGCCCAATGGACACTTGCTAATTAGATTACGAATCTAGATGAAGGAGTTCGGAGCGGGACCGTACACCCCAGAGCAATGTGAAGCCCAATTGCGATACCTCGATGCACAGAACCGGGAGCGTAGCACTGGTCCGCGAACACGAATACCTGATCCTCAGCCATCGCGAAAGCGATCATGGTCAAAGGTGGCCTCCAGTGTGGCCAGTGGTAGTACGAAGTAGCATTTGTGGTTTTTTGGGAATGTACTTTTTTGACTTTTTTTTTCTGGGAGGGATGTTGAAGCGCATTATGGATTCCTTTGGGGCTTTCTTTTTTTTTGTTGGGGGAAATTACACGCAAGGATGATTGTTTACGTCTGGATGAGTTTCTTTGTTTACTTGGATATACCCTGTGACCGATTGCATGCGAATGACATATTTCTGGATAATTTTTGAGCAACGTGAATCTCAAATCATGGACTTCGAGAGAGCGTCTCCCGACATTGGGAGAGAAAGCGAGCACGCCAATCAAGGACGGGCCTTGCTCTGGACGCTAATGCGACGGACAAAGAGACGAAGCCAGCGTCGTACAGCCCCTAGGGAGTTTCCCAGCTGCTAAGCGATCACAATTAAACTTTCAGGCCATCTAACGGCTGAAGATCAGCTCGACTAAGGGCCCAGCTAGCCTCTTTTGGTGGGAGATAGGCTGCATCTCCAGAGGTCAGTTCTTAGCCGCCAGCAGCCCCAAGCCACACGACAGCTGGAGGACGTCGGTCCCTATGAAAGAGCCGCCGGGCTGATCCTCCACACGCTTACGTACAGATACATGTTGCCTAGCAGCTGCCTAACTGGTGATGTTTTAGGAGGAATGCAGTCAGTGACTCAAGCAGTCTGGACCGGGTAGAAAACTACTCGGCTAAGTTTAGCCTGGTGTTACCGGCCAATGCAATGACATGCTCTGCCATGCCATGCACATGTACATGTACATGCACCTTTCAGCCGCAGCAGCAGGGATTGTCAACTTCTTCCCACGGCGCTGGTTTTACCGCCTGCTTTGGCTTCTCGGGGATAAGACTAGTGTTCATGGCACAGCTATCTTGCGCACGCCGATGACAACATGATCGTCTGCCTAGCATCTAATTGAATTGCCTTCCGTCAAATCCTGCCGTTGATTCTGCGCCAGCATGGCGGCGCACAGGATTTCCAGAATCAAGCGCCAGGAATGGTTACTGCGCTTCTAGTGTCGCTGTCGTCTTCCAACCCCTCAGCGGGCGGGCTTGCTGAATGTTGTACACGTCTTTGCCGTTGCATTCATTCCGTTCGGACCTTCTCCGGGTTCTTGAATGATAAGCGTCTTAGACACACTAGCTATGAGAGTCGTGCATTCGTTCAACGTTACGGGGGCTAGACACCCAGCATCAGGGTTTACGAGAGGAAGGGAGTAGCAGCAGGTGCCCGGGCTGTGCACACCCGAAACATAGGCTCTAATGGTCGTCCTCCCCCTCCTCTTCTATATCCTCATCTATTATAGGGAACGTCAACAGGGCTGCGACCCCTCCTAGCCCATCAAGTCGCCTTCCACTCTCATGGTCGGAGCTAAGCACTCGCACCTCACCACCCTCGACATCCCGTACCCGATCTACCAGCGATACCCAGCGTTTGCGCTCCGCCACATCCTGTGACCTGAACAGCCGATTGGAGATGATCAGCACGCCGCCACCGCGGCCAACGGCACCCTGGTCGACAGCGAATTCAACCTCGCGGGGACCATATGTCGCTTTGTTGGTTTCTTTGCGGAGCTGGTCGAGAAAGTCGTCCATGAGCTTTGTCTCGCGCGCGTACTTGGTATCGGCAAGGATGGTCTTCACAGCTGGCGACTGCAGCACTTCCGCTAGCGAGTGCAGATAACCGGAAGCCGAGTGTACAACCACAATACTGGGTAGGAGGCGTTTAAGTGCCGGGGTCGAAGTGGATGCCTGCGACTGGATGTACTTCTGGAATCCGGAGGCCACGAAGCCTGGCGATGCAAGGAGAACCGGTCGAACGGTCTCGCTGCTGGTGAGTGAAGCCGAACTGGTGTTGAATTCCAGCTGGCGCAGCAGCGTATCGAGTGTAACCTGGAAGAATTTCGACATACCCTTTCCCCACCCCAACCTGTCAGCATACACAAACAACCCCAACACGGAGACAGATAATCATGGTACAACCCACCTTATCATGATCACCCCCGCCATGCCGTTTCCTGGGCACGGACATCTCAATCTTCTGCTTTAGGATAGTCTGAAACTGCCCAATAAAGCAAATATGCGCCAACCCTTCCTGCATCACCACGGCCACGGCCTCCGCCCTCCGTTGTCCCCCTTCATCTACCGCATCCTTCAACATCTGCACCGCGATACTGTCCCATCCGACGCCCTCACCGTCCGCTCCAACTTCCTTTTCTAGCGTAAAGTTCCGATTCAGCTCGAGATCGAGCGTATGGTGTTGTCCGATCTTCGTATGGGCCGTCTCGTTCACAATTGTCCCGCTAACATGTAGCTGCGAGCTCTGCGGATCGAAATCAAGGTTCTTAACGCGGATCTCGAGCGTCAAGTGGACTCGAGCTGAGCTAGTAGAACCGGTTTCCTGAGTTGTGGTGACACGACGGATAGCACTGGCGCGGAGGAGATCGTTCGGCCGGATGAGGTTGTATGCGTGCCACTGAAGCCGTTAGTTAGACAAAGAGCTACCCCTCAACCAGGAACAGAGTATACCGTACCATGTCCTCAGGCTCCTCAGGACACAAGGTCACCGTTCCGGAGCCATTGTGCTCAATTTTGTTCTTGATGAGACGCATCTTGGCTGTAGAGCAGCAGGGTTCCTCGCACGGCGGGGTAATGTTTTGGTAACTGGGACAGACAGCCTCGCGTGGTAGCAGATGTCTTTCAGTACGTTAATTATATGCTGAGTAGTCAGATACCTCCTAAGCAGTATCAAAACCACTCAAAGATATAGATAGGTAAAATCGTCACCGTCTCCGACGAACAAATCCCTCCTTCCAATCAGGCTCTGGATGATGACGACCAAACTGACTTGCGGGCGGCAGCCTCAGGCCAGGACCACCCACCAGCTGCGGGACCGTCCCAAAGCGGACTAGCGATGTTGTGTCATCTGACCGAGGCTTGACTATCGATAAGAGGCGGAACCCTAAGACCTAAGCCCTGGTCGGAGATAAGATGATCAGATAATAATTATCCCAGTGGGTTGATGTATCATAGTGGGTATGTCTATCCGATGAACATCATAGCAGAGACTGAGTCTGAAGACTGCTCATCTCCACAGATCAAAATTGTCAGGCATATAGCATCAAATAGTATCAAATACGAAAATTGGAATTAGCACACCACACCGGACCCTCTAAACCCGAATTCTTCCATCTCCGCTCGTACGTACTAACTTAAACCCCCATGCCCTTCTTGACGTGGGGCGGAATGAGCGGCATTACTTTGATAATGGTTCATTTCCCGGGTTGAGGGGGGTACCTTAGGCTCCGGTGGAGGATATAAATTAGTCTCGTATTTCTTCTTGTTGGGTAATTGGCATTCTAGTCTAGCGTTTGCTCCGAATCACCTTTGCATACACCTTTCTCTCACCAAGAATAATAGAAACAGGATATACTGAGCAAAATGTCCCTCTCACTACAATCGACCAAGAAAATGGTCTCGGGGTATGAGATACCTGTTCTCGGATATGGTGTGAGTAGCCCTCTCTTATTTGTCTTCATCTACAGATCAAGGTCTCAACTAAAGTGTGAATCGATTATATAGGTCTATAAAACGTGCATCCCTACTCACCCCTACCATCCTAACCCAAGCCACCTCATCAATTAACTCGTTGAACAGTCCCCCCGACGTCACCGAATCCGTAACCCTCAAAGCACTGGAACTCGGATACCGTCATGTACGCACACCACCCCCAGCCCCTCTCCAACATCACCCAACTAACGTGGGAAACATGATTACTAGATCGACAGCGCTCAACTCTACAACAACGAAGCCGAATGCGCCCTCGCCATCAGCCGCTCCAACATCCCACGTTCCCAAATCTTCTACACGACCAAGATCCCCACCACGCACATGTCCTACGAGAAAGCCAAAGAAGCGATCGAGTCTAGTCTAGCAGCTGCCACGGGATTGGGGTATATCGATCTGTACGTCCATCCCCTACTTTTACGATTTTACATCCAGATGCTAATAACAGCGGGGATAATGTAGAATGCTCCTCCACGCCCCCTACGGCGGGCGCAGCGGCCGACTCGGCGCATGGCGCGCCCTCGTCGAAGCGCAAGCAGCAGGGAAGATCCGCTCGCTGGGGGTATCGAATTACGGGATCCGGCATCTAGAGGAGCTGGAGGAGTATATTCGGGGCGGAGGGGGCGGGGAGATCTCCGTCGGGCAGTATGAGATCCATCCGTGGTGTGCGCGGGAGGATATTGTGGGTTGGTTGAGGAAGAGGGGGGCGGTGGTGGAGGCGTATGCGCCGCTTGTGCAGGCGAAGAGAATGCAGGAGCCGGTTTTGAGGAGGTTGGCGAGTAAGTATGGGAAGAGTGAGGCGCAGGTTTTGGTGAGGTGGAGTTTGCAGAAGGTGAGTTCTCTTTCTTTCTTCCTTTCTTTGTGTATGGGTGTTAAAGATGCTAATCGCGAGGTGTATGTGTGTAGGGATACGTGCCGCTGCCTAAATCTGTGACCGAGTCGAGAATCGTGGAGAATTCGCAGGTGTTTGATTTCGAGCTGTCCGCGGAGGATATGGAGGAGTTGCAGACGACGGAGTATGCGCCTGTTAGTTGGGATCCGGCGAGGGATTCGAAGTTGTAGATGAACACTCTAGACAAGGTGGGGTTAGTCGCTGAATGGAAGTTAGTATGAATAGAGCGAGACAATAGTGAACGGAAACAAAGCAGACAACAATAACCAAGATAAGAGTCAAACGGGGTAAACAAGCGGTGATCCAATCTCGGCACAACATATCCCCGTCGCGGCCTCCTTCCGCATTCCACCCCAACTACGGAGTACATACAAACTATAATCAACAACATCGATCGATAATACCTACGACACACCCATGGCCTCTCCACAATAACCTCCTTTCCTTCCTCTACGACAAGACATGCCTCCTCACCCTCAAATGTCTCCTCCTCACTCCCCGACCATCCCCCAAAATGCCCTCCTCCCCCAGCAAGCGCATCATCCTCGAAAAGTCCCGCACCGTGCGCCGCCGGTACCAGCGCAGCAACAAACGCTTTCAATTCACGGCATCGCAGATTGCGCGCATCGAGCGCGAACAAGAGCGCGAGAAACGCGCCCAGCAGCTGCGCGACAAGGAGAAGAAACGAGTCGCGAATAAGAAGAAGAAAGCGGAGAAAGAGGCGCGCGATAGAGAGGAACGCAGGAGATTAGGGCGCATGGGGTTGCCGGATCCGAATGCGCCCGTGCCGCCGTCGAGTCAGCCTTTGTTGTTTAATTTCATTAAGAGGAAGGATGGGGAGGAGGGGGAGAGTAGCAATGGTGGTGGGGATACAGAGGTAGATGAGGGTGGGGATACGGAGGTGGATGAGGATCTTTTGGAGGATTTGGAGGCCGTTGTTGATGCTGCTGAAGCTGAGGCTGATGGCTTGGATTTGGATTTGGGTTTGGATACTGGGGATGAAGGGGAGGGGGAGGGCGGGGATCATGGGGATGAGGCTACGGGTTGCGATCAGGGTGATAATGAGGGTGAACAGCAGGTCCGGGCTAAAGAGGAGGATGAGTTCTCTGACTGTTCTATCTTTTATGATGAGGATATCATTAAAGAGGCGGGAAATACTACTGCGCCGGATCAAGCTGCGTTGCACGATAAGCCGGAGGCTCAGCCGGAGAACCAACCCCACCCCTCAACTGCCGACTCCTTCCAAGACGACACGGCACTCCTCCTCGAAGAATACGGGCATGAATTCGAAATAGACGAAGAATTCGAGCAAGCACTGGTTGCGCTGGATGCCGTGTGATCCGAACGAATACTTTATAGTATATGGCAGATAAACAAAGCGCTTCCGACCCGAAGGCGATCCGCCTGTCGGATAGCGACGCCCCTCGTCGGCTCGGGCGGTGATAAGCGGGCGGCTTGCCTCCCCGCCACGAAGCCGTCGATCCGACGGATTCACCACGGTGAGAGAAAGGGTGAATATGGGTAAGCTGTATTGGCATGCAGCGGATGCAGTGCGAGGAAAGATGAATATCGGAAAGGAAAAGTCATGGTGGAAAGCGAGACCAAAAAGTTGAGGCCACAGCTCCTCCCCGCACATGACGTCGGCCAGAAGAGCTAGATGCATATCCGATCGATCGAACATCTCCGGCAAGCATCTCCCCTCTCAACATTCCCTCCTCTCACTTTCACAATCCATTGGAAACCCACATCAGAAGAGACACCATGCCGACCCTCACCGTCAACAACCACCAAATCTACTACGCCGACACCCACCCGGACGGTGCTCCGGCCACCGGCCAAACCATCATATTCATCCACGGCCTGGGCTCGTCGCAGAACTACTACTTTCCGGTCCTCCCATACCTAAGTAACCACCGCTGCATCACCCTCGATACCTACGGCTCAGCCAGATCCACATACACCGGCGACGCCATCAGCATCGCCTCCATCGCATCCGATGTCATCGGGGTCCTCGACGCCCTACAAGTGCCCAAGGCCGTGGCCGTCGGCCACTCCATGGGCGGGCTGGTAGTAACCCTGCTCGGCGCACAATACAGCGACCGCATATCAGGCGTCGTCGCTATTGGACCTACCCACCCGTCCGAGAAGCTCGCAGAGGTGATGACGCAGCGCAGCGAGACAGTGTTAAAGGGTGAGCAGGACCAACCAACCAATTAGCAAGCAAGCAAACCAGTCATCAAACTAACATTTCTCCCAGCCGGCATGGAACCAATGGCAAACACCATCCCCAACGGAGCAACCGGCACCCGCAGCTCCGCACTCGTCAAGTCGTTCATTCGTGAATTGATCATCGGACAGAACCCCAAGGGTTACGCGGCGCTGTGTCTGGCGATTGCTAATGCGCCGGTGATTGATTACTCGAAGGTCACGGCGCCGTATCTGCTGATTGCGGGTGAGGAGGATAAGTCTGCGTCGATGGAGGGGTGCGAGCATATTCATGCGGGTGTGTCGAGTGCGCAGAAGAAGTTGGAGGTGTTGAGGGGGGTGGGACATTGGCATTGTGTGGAGGCGCCGGAGGAGGTGGGAGGGCTTATTGGGGGGTTTGTGCAGACTTTGTAGACTGTTTGGGTGAGATGTTATCATGTGAATTCTATACATAGAGTATGAGCTTGGTATGCTTAGATATCTGACGAAGCTACACTACGAAACATGACCAAATCACTCTACATAGTACTAAACCATCGAATTGAAGAATATCATAGAACCATTTTGATAGACAATCGCTCATACCATACAATTTACCACAAATCATAGCACCAAAATATAAATAAAAAAAATAATATATACTATGAAAGTAAAATAGATCAGTTCGCCGGCGCCCGCACCAACTTAACATCATAGTTCAACTCAAGACCAGCTTGAGGATCACCCTTGCGAGGCACGAAATCCACAATCAACGAATCCTTGACAGCAAACACCGAGTCATTAGTCAGGTATTTATCCTTGGAATCGAAGATTTGCGTCGTGAGGGGCTTGTAGCCGTCGTATGTAGCCTGCCATCACCATACCTATTAGCAAGACCAACCAAAATATGAAAGGGGGAGGGAGATAAACGTACAATAATATGAATATGCGCGGGCCTAAACGGATGTCTATCCATCAATTCGAGCAGCTTTCCAGCGGGACCTATTCCCAACAACCACCATAATTAGCCAACCACCCACAAAAACCGACAATAAGAATAAAGGGATCTCACCATCATCAGGAACAGGATACGGCGTCGGCCTCAAACAATAAAAGCTATACCTCCCCTGCTCATCTGTCTTGAACTTCCCACGGAGATTAAACTCCTCTTGCTGGGGATCCTGCTGCTCATACAACCCATTCGTACTAGCCTGCCAGACCTCCACCGTGGCGCCGACAAGCGGCTTCTTAGTCTCAAAGTCCACGACTTGGCCGTGCATGAATGCCATTTCGCCCTCGCCATTGGGCGGCGGGGTCAGTACAATGTTCGCGCCGTTCTCGCGGTAGGGTGTGTCGGCGCGGAAGAATGGGCCTAGGATGGCGGTTGCGGTGGGGGCGTCGGGGGCTTCGGAGGCGAGGGTGTAGGTGATTTCGTCTACTAGACTGTAGATTCTCTATTAGTATAGGTTTGTGGGGAGGGGGTTTGGTAAAGGGTATCATACGACTCCAATCCGATAACATCACAAACAAGCTGTCCCTCATTCCGCTTATCATCGCTCATTTGACCAGCCCAGTTGAGGAGCTTCACGCCGGCCATCCATTCATCGACGGTGAGTTCGTTTTCGCGCGCGTAGTCGTGGACGTGGCGGATTAGACCGGTCATTAGTTGGCGGAAGCGCGGGGTCGTTTTTGGACCCATGCTGTTGATGACGTTGTCGGTGAAGTTGGGGTCGAAGCGCGGCATTTTGGATACTTTTTTTTCTTTTATTGTGTTCTTTGTTGGGTATGTGTAGTGTATATGAGGGGTGTATGGGTATAAGAGAGGAGAGAGTTGAGGGGAATTAGTAGAGTTAAACTAAGATGAATGGTGGTGCTTGGTGGTTTATATAGTAGTAACTAGTTAAGTACTAAATAAGTTACTACTTAGTAGGGTAATTGTTAATGGATCCCCCGGATTCGCTGTCGCTGGTCGGAAAGCCCTCTTAGGCTCTGATCGGATGGACTTTTCCGATGGTCTTCCCCGCACGCTTCGGATGTTACTTTGTATGTCAATGTTTGGTTCAGATGATTCCCCACGCCGGATTGATCAATTGCCTGATGGTTGCATACGATTTATCCACCATTATATGCACATACTAACTAAGTATGAAATTAAGAATGATGTTTTCCCGTCGGACCCCCCTTCTTCTTCCCTCCCTTTTGCGCCCATTCCGACGGCCACTCCTGCACCACCTGTCCACGTTCCCAAATCTTGCCCATCTTGCGCTCCACCACCACATCCACAAACTCCAATGGCACTACCTTCTCTCCCCCATCCCCATCCCCATCCTTATTTACAGTCAACCCCTCACTAAGCACCACCCCATTCTCACTCCTCCAAAACGGACATCCCGCACTCAACGCCTTCTCCAAATCCACATAAATCAACACCTGCGCATCCCTCCGCATCCCCGAAATAACCTGTCCCGGCGCGGCCACCGCATTCCCCGCCAACACATCCTCCACTGCTGGTCCCGTCGCAAAATGCACCTGGTTGCGGCCCATGCAGCGGAGTCCGCCGGAGGAGAAGATGGCTGGCCATGCGGAGTGGAAGGTGCCGTGGACGACGGTGCGCGGGAGTTTGTCTTTGTCTGAGAGGGAGAGTTTTTCGAGGAGGTGGGCCGCTTCGACAGTCTTGATGCTGTGGCCTTGTGTGGCGCGGATGAGGTAGTGGGAGGGGTTGGGGTCGGTGGTGGTTGCGGCGAGGGCGGTAGTTGTGGTGGTTGTGTCGGTGGATTCTTGTGATTCAGGTTCTGTTTCAGTTTCTGTACTGGTGGTTTCTGTAGATGTAGATGTAGGAGTTGCCTCTGTAGCGGCTGGTGTAGGTTGGGTTGTAGAGGGGGTGTATAGCAGCGCGAATCGCTTCTTATCGGAGTTTGCGACGGCGTCGACGATCTCGGGGAAGGTCACTTTGAGAGATTTGAGTTTGCGCCATGCTAGCTATATATCGTAGTTCATATTAGCTGGGAAGTTATTCTTGGGGCATGGCTCTGCTGTGGAAGACGCACCACATCAGATACATTGGCGTAGCCTTGCGCATCTATCGGGAGGCCTTCTTTTTCGGCGGCGTGACGGAGAAGCAGGCTCAGTGCTTTCGATACCGTGACGGCGCGGCTGGCGGGAGGACGACCTTTAGGCATGATGACTTTCTGAGAGAGCGAATCAAGCGTAACTGGGAAATTGGAAATGAGAATGAAGTGGGATGGAGTGTCAATGAGATGTGCGGAGGGAAGATGGAGGGGCTCGGCGGAACTTTTCCACCTCCGCGGGCCCACTTATGCTCCCCGATATCTACTATCTCATTCACGATCTTATTCACTCTATCACATGAATGATATACAGTTAACTATAGTACAGTTAATGATGATTCAATATACTATTAATGCTTCCCACCCATCTATCTCTAATTATACTCCAGGCATCGACATAAATTATCAAACACCGCGAAATGGGTATATCACAAAACGCATCCCTCTGAATCAAACAATCCCATAACCTGATCCCATCCGTATACTCATCCCAAGTAGGATCACCGATCACAAATACAACTACACTCCGCCACCGGACACACCTTATGCCGCGCAAACCATTCCCGCGCATGATGCGCATGGAACCCGTGGTTGCAATTAATGCAGAACACAATAAATCTCCGCATCAGTTCCGTCTCAGACGGTCGTCGTCCCGCCGCATCTGCCGCCACACAAGCCTTGGACATCGGGTCCGGCGCTCCCAGCCACAGCGTGCATACTCCACACCGTGGCATATGGCGCCCGCAGCGTGGACACACTGTGCCGGACATGGCGGCGCTGCCGAGGGGATTGCCAGGCGTTGGGTGTGTGACTTCGCCCGTCACCGAGGGGGTCAGTTGTGAGGAAGCGTCGTGCTGTGTGAGCGGTCGTGTGCAGTAGTTGCAGGTGAGACTGACTTGTTGGCGGGGCGGGTCGACCAGTTTGCGTCCGTCCCAGGTGACGGCGAACTTGCGGGAGCCGACGTCGAAGCGTGCGCGCTCGAGTTGCAATTTCCATGCGTTGATCTGCTGGCGGTAGGTCTCGCGCCAGGATTCGAAGCGGGCGCGGTCGGGTGAGTTGTTGATGAAGCGGGGGACGGTGTGGCTCA